CCTTCCATCCATCCATCCATCCATCCATCCATCCATTCATCCATCCATCCTTCCTTCCTTCCCTTTCGTCTTGTGGACTTTTGTGCATCTGGATAAAAAGAACCTCGCCCGCTTTGGGTTTTGATTTAAACCGCGGCAACAATTCGATCAGGGCAGTCGCTCTTTCGCTCACGCTCGGTACTCGTGATGAAAAGAAAATTACCCCGAGACCCCGGGAACGTTTTAAAACGTCCGTACGTTTTCTTTTTTTCTTTTTTTTCTCCTTTCGCGTAATTTCGTTAATGCCGTTTATGGATAATAGCGATAAAGCCCGGGGAAAATTGCTGGCAAAACCGAGTGCGCCCAGCGGTCTCGTTGTCGCTCGCAGTCTCTTCTTGAACGTAGCTCACAACCTTGTAGAATGATTTAAGCCGCGCGGCGAGCTTAAGCGCTTGACCTCAAACGAGCGCGACATGCCTCCTGGAATTACGGGAACGCACGATTTTACGAGCCTGCATCGAACGATGGCTATCCGTCACGACGATTTCCTTGCAACGATACTTCAAGAGGTCGAATCTGTTATTAATCTTTAACGGGCGAAATTTAATCGAATTTTGTTCGAAATTGCCGATCGGTTCGTCACGTTCCCCGTGAAATAAACTCGAAGCCAGTATCTGCGCGAAGATTACAGGAAGAAAAAAAAAATAACGGAGTTTCAATATTGTTAATCTTCGAGTGCCGACGTTATTTGCCAATTATGAATAACAAATCCATAAAGTTCTGCGTAAAAAGAGAAAAGCAACGCACACAATGCCGAACATTTCAGAATCAATATTTCCAGAAAGAGTTTGAATTTAACGGATAGGTCAATTTCGAAAATACGCGATTGGTTTACAGTCTGGTATTGGATTTTAAAATTGCTTCCATACTAGAGAAACGTGAAAAAACAAAAAAAAAAAAAAAACACGACTTACCGTGTCTTTTCTCCCTACAATCTCCCTCGCCCTCGCGCCCGCGATTCCGTGGAAACCGCCATTTCCCGCCGACGTGTAACGGCCATTTTTCATTTCGCTGAACGATCTCGTGATTACGAGAGTAACCGTAACTCACGCATCGACCACGGACCGATATCCCGTGCCGGCCTGGCCACGGAAATTAAATTCCTTTTCTTGGGAGGAAAAGCACGGGTCGTTCCGTCCGTACGAGATATTTGCTTGTAAGTTTTACGCCCGCCTATTGTACGAACTTTCCACGCCGTGATTCCGCGCGGTGAAGAGGTCGACCCAGTTTCCCCGGAACTATTCGACGAGTTATTACGAATTTCTCTCGCAGAGGAAAAAACATAAAGGAAGCGGGAGCCGATGAAAGGACAGGATCGCAGCTGCGCCTCGTAATGCCGCGGTGATTCCGATACATTGCGTACGCCCCCGTGGAAAAACCAGTTTACGGTGACGTCGCCGATGTATATATGGTGGTTTTGTCGTTGCCGATGTGTAACCCTTTCGTTCTACGAGCATTCAGCTCTCAGCGCTCGGGATAAGTCGCCGATGCATCGACCGAGAGAGTCGCATCAAGGGAAGCTGATTCACCGGTAAAAATTGAACAGCCACCGTCCCGACGTACGCGCCATCGCATATTCGATCGCCCGTTCGTTCCGCGACCTGGTACTAAAATAGGGAAAAAGACGAGAAAAGAGAGAAAAAAAAATAAAAGAAAATGGCAAAACTTCGCGCAAGGATATTTCACTCACAGTCAGATCGAGTCAAATCGAGGTTAAATGATCCATCTTCGTAATTCGTCAAATTGTCAGTTGTAATTATCGCAATTGCGGTCAAAGGATCGAGAAAGACTCAGGTGACTCGATCTCACTTTACATCTACCGTACCGACAAGTCGCTGGAGTTTTCGTTGCCAACTTTCGTCGTTACTTTCTTCCTTTTCCTTTCTGTTTTTTATCGTCGCGCGGCGAAGTCGTTAGCAGCGAGAGAAAGAACAAGAACAACGGTAAGAAAACGAAAAGAAACGGAGATTTAACAAGCGAGACACTTATTTACGAATCCACGGCGAGACTCTGTCTTTTCCCGCGGCTTGACCTCGTCGCGGAAGGAAAAGCGAGCGTGGCGCGGACGGGGGGGTTGGCTCGACGACGCTCGGATGACGGAGTAAAAAAAAAAAAAAGAAAAACGTCGGGCGCACGGCTGGCGGACGATAATGTAAAAATGAGAAAGCACGCGCGGTCTGGCCAGATACGAGGGACGAAATGCTTTCTACTCGTGTACCCCGTGCAGGCTTTCCGCTAAAAGCGAAAGCGACAGCGGCGCTGTGCATTTAATGACGCGAAATGCATTTTCCAGCCAACCGGTTTAAAATGCAAGGTAAAAACGCACTAAAACGCCCGGCGCGCGCGGCCTTTCTAATTAAAATCAGTTTTAACCGGAACGTAGGAGCCCGAACGAGAGCTCCGCCTCCATACAGGTGAACGGTTACCGCCAGGCTCGCGCTTGCATCGCGATGTCCGCGCTTCTTCGCCTAACGTAATCTTGTTTTCGATCTTCGAACATCGTTGCGGTCCCCTTCTCGATGCGAACGTTCTTTGTAGGGGATGCTGGCCTTGGTCCTACTGCCAGGATCGATAAACGCGATAATGCGAGAGACACATCCCTGGACAATTGCGAGAATTACTTTATAGGACTGACCTTGCCCAATAGTATCTTTTGATCAATCACGTGAAAGACACAGGAGAGTTTATCTTATACAAGGCCTAGAATTGCTAGTGAGATACTGCAGGTTGTTTGAAACTTTTCCTGCATACACAACCTCAACAAACTCCCCGCACAAACGTCAAACAACATCACCACACTACACTAACCATTCTAAATGCAGGTTAAAGGGCACTCCAAGCCCAAGGTACTGCAGACAAGACATCCTGACTAATTAAAAAAAAAAAAATTCGTGAGATCAAATAGGTCAGTTCATTCGTCCATCTTGTAGGAACTTGCGAAGGTAATCTTGACATTTATTGTTTACTAATTGTATGATGTGTGTGTCTACGGTGTTGAACATAGTTCACTCTGTGGCTACAAAGTCTTACGTCTTCGCTTGTTTTTCGATCTCAGAGCTATGGAGCTTTGTAAAAGGACAATATCAAGAGAGTGAAAGTAAAGAGACAGTAACAAGTATCTTCGACACCTTTATCATCCCATGAATTATTTCCAACACATCTTGCCACGTATATCGTCAATAATCAATCCTCGCGTACAAATTCCAAAGAAGAAATCGATATCAGTTTGACACTCTTGATTGAAAAAAGAATCGAGCCATCAGACTTATTACACGCAAATTCTAGAAAAGATCCATCGTATTCATTCATTTTCCATGTGGATGGTTCTTCGAGTCCCGAGGAATATACGCGGAGATACATGATCGACACCAGTTCGTGACTGTCCTCAACACAAGATGGCGAGTGTATTCCTTCATTTTGTAGGAACGCGCCTGAAAAGTGTCCTGCACTTCCCAAAAACTTTCTCTGCCGCGTTTGCACGACGCGTCGTCCACCTCGAACGTTTCGCACCCTCGCACCCGGGTCGAGTATCGTGTCGTTCTTTGCGATTGTTACCCAACTTCAGAACGAACGAGGGTTTGTCAGTTCACGGGTGAGTGTCAATTCACTTTGCGCGGAGTTTCGACCGAAGAGATCGGTGGCCGGCACGAGGCTGATATCAAAGTCAAACAGCAAGGTTTTCGCAAGAGTTCGAGTGGGGCTAGAAGCGAAGGTAAACGCACGGCTTTCGATCGCGTCGTCGGTTTTCTGTTGCCTCGCCGGCGAGATACACGGTTCATTAATATCGCAGAGTTATTACCGTGACGACGATTATCCGCGATTTGACGCGGAACGCACCGCGTCGCTTCGTGCCGCAGCTCGAAATAACGGCCCGAGCGATGGGATGTGTTCCACCGTGTTGAACGATTCTTTTTTTAAAAAGAGGCAGTTTCCTAAAGATCCCATAATTCTAAGGATGAACGTATGCACCGACCTGCCGTTCCTATAAGAGATCCCCGCTCGGTATAAATCAGCGTTCCCCGGGCGTATCCAGCGAGCGTTCTCTTTTTCGAAATCATCCCTCCTCCATCGCGCGGATATATTTTTTCCGCCATCTTTCTCAAAGTATAAGACGGCCTGGGGACAAGTGGCTAGAAATTCCCCTGACCTCTCGTGGACTTTATCATCGCGATAACCTTCTTCCCGGCTTCCATCCTGATGGAAACACTGAATCAGTATGATCGGATATCGCATGGTACGTTGAATTCACCCGGTTACTTCTCCGCTCCTATTTCTCTTCTGTTTTCACCGTGAAAGCATCCATTCCTCTCGCTCTCTCTCTCCTATCGCTCTCTCTCTCTCTCTCTCTCTCTCTTTCTCCATCTCTGCCCCTCTTGTCACCTCCTGCGCGCCCATCCTTCGCCTCTTTTTCCTTTTCAGTCGTTCGTGTCATCGATCGCAATATCGCAGAAAAAGTCGAGTGTATAACGTTGCCCGGCCGACCCCTTCGACTCGCAACAGCTGGCAAGGCGAAGCCGAGGAACGCCGAAGGGAAGAAAAGGAAAAAAAAAAAAAAAAAAAAAGAAAGGAATCTTTCGTCGTGTGTCGACGAAATTTTTGCAAAAGAAAAAGAAACCATAACAATATCAATATGCTCGGTTTGCATAATTCTAATTTGTCTGCGTAAAAACGTTTGCCCGAATTAATTATAATTATGTATAATATATTATATTATATATCACTTGCAAGTGTGGGCGCACTCGCGTGTCTATCATTATTATAATTATTATTATTATTAATTATTATCATCATTATTATTATTATTATCATTATTATTCGTTAAATGATGTAAAAAAAAAAAAAAAAAGAATACTTCGCTTCTTTTTCGAACGTTTCACGCGATTTATACGTATGTTCCTAATATGCACGCTAGTAACAAGGAAAACTTCCTCTCTATTCTTTTTTTTTTCTTTTTCTTTTTAATTAGCCTCAAAGGTGACTTTATCGAACTTACTTTTCACAGAGACGGAAATATGCTCGACAAGTTTCCTTTACGGTGCGTGAATTCACGACAGAAACGCAAATACTGAATTTCACGATGCGTGTGTATGTGTGTGAGTGTGTGTGTGTGGTTCTAGTAGAAAATCCTTCTCGTAAGCACAAAAGTTACCAGAATCTCACGGCAACGGTAACTCGGGTTATTTCTATACAATCGGACAGTACCATACAGAATGAACAGTGTCATCGTACCGACTTTTTTTTTTTTTTTATTACTTTCATCGTTTCTTCGTATTACAAACGAGCGCGTACAAAACAGTAAATTGAGAAGCTCATCATATCGGCGTTGAGAAAAATGCAAATACAAAACGCGTGCTCTCCACCAATCGTTCCTCGATCGACGGAACGATACGCACAATCGCTCTTATCTCTCTTCGACGATAATAAAACAATACAATAGAGAAGAAATGACAAACTCGTAACGCAGGATTAAACCTTCTCCCTCGAAGGTGTCAAATTAATAATACTGTCGAACGACGTGATTGACTTCGATGACGGCAAACCGTACGGCAAAAAATTCTCTTCTTGGCGCTGCAATTGTTGCATTTGGACAAAGGTAATAATAATTCAACAAGCTTGTCTCCTGTTCGTTACTGATCGCAGCGGTCAGGTCATGGTCTCCTGGTATTCTACGCACAGTGTTGATAGCGAATGTCACATTAAACTGTTCTTTGTGGTGAAAACGTGGCGGCGGACGTCATCTCATTCGGGATCATCCTCGTTCGATCCGTACTCGAGGTCGTCTTGGCGTCACAAGCTCACCAGCTTCGGCGGATTCGCATCCGGTGAGCTGAGGTCGACCGCCGACAGGTTGTTTCTCTGCTGCGTCGAGCAGGAAGGTATCAACGGCGTGGAGACCGGCGTGAGGCCGGTTCCACCTTCCATCAACGACTCGAAGTTGAACGGTATGCCGCTGGTTGGCGTCGTGATCGGCATTCCCGCCACGTCCAACGACGGTTTCATGAACGCCGGTGTCTCCACCGTTTTGAACGTGAGCGTGTCCGGCCTCTCTTTCGGCTCGTTGAAGATCGACAGGGAGTTGGGCCGGTTGTTGTTGTCGAAGCCAACCGGCAACGAGTTCGGTCTGTTCGGCCTCGTCGCGATGTTCACCGCCGGGTCGCCGCGTTTCCCGGCGTCGGCCGCGGTGACTGCAGCCACGAAATGATTCTCCGTCGGAATATCTGGCTTTATCACGGGTTTCACATCCGGCGGCGAGGCGGAACGAAGTCGACAGACCGCTCTGTGCGCCTCCAGAATGAATTCCAGCTCGTCTTTGGCCTGCTGTAGCTGTTGGATCTCCTCCTGCAAGCTTTGCTTCTTCTGCTCCAAACCCTCAGTCTCCTGCAAAAATTCAACACCACACACGTACGTCTCGTGAGTCGCGTTTCTTTCGGATATTTACCGAAACGTACCGGATCAATAGAGTCGACAGATTACGTACTTCTAACAGGGCATTGGTGTGATCCATCCTTCGCTTGCGGCATCTAGCTGCTGCCATCTTGTTCCTCTCTCTGCGTATCTGTCTTCGTTCCTCCTCCTCCGGAGTCATCCCGATCGTCCTGGTGGGCCTTCTGCCACCCATGTTGCGTCTGGTTGGCTGCTGCTGTTGCGGCTGTGTCGTCTGCTGACTGTCCACAAGGATGGTGTTGGCTGCCACGGGGGCGGCGACGGTGGTGGTGACGACGTGATGCGCCGCCGTGTTTTGCGTCTGTGCCGGCGTCGGTTGCGACGGTTCCACCAACGGTGGCACGAAACCTGCCTCGCGGCTGTGCGACGCTGACTCGCTGGTCAGCTCCAGGAACGTCTGCTCGATACTCCGGAGCGTCGTCGGCGTCAACGTCGGCGTCGTCCTCGTCGGCACGCCGCTGTGCAGCCCGTCCAGCGAAACCAGCTGCAACGAGAAACAATTCGATCGCTATCAGAACAACGATGAACGAAAAAATTTCATTTCAAACTGCACAAATTGACCACTTGCGCTTGGGACAAGTGATTGCGGATCATAACCAGAGTGACCAAATCGTATACAATATGTATGTATGTATGTATATATTTATTTCAGCCTCTTTGGCGAAAGAGAAATTGACTTTGGTTTTTACAGTGCACATTTCGCACTGCATTTATCCGAGATTTTACACGTTATAATATTTACATAATATTTTTGTATCCTATTTTGCTTTATCCTATATACTTACATTTACCTTAACTATGCTATTCTTTTGTCTGCTTAAGTATCTTAACCTAATTCTTTCATTTTATTTCATGTTTATTTTGTTGCCCTCTTCTTTTCAGACCTGCCTTATCTCTTCCTTCTTTTCTCCCTGTCCCTTAACTATGCTATTCTTTTGTCTACTTAAGTATCTTAACCTAATTCTTTCATTTTATTTCATGTTTATTTTGTTGCTCTCTTTTTTTCAGACCTGCCTTATCTCTTCTCCCTGTTTCCTAATGTTCCTCCCTCCATCCTCGCACAATTAACATTTCCCTTCTTCTTTGCTCGCCCAAAATTTATTTCAATTTTCTAGGGTGCCGCATCACCTTCTGCTCTCCATTTTTCTCTCCTTCAGGTATTTTGGTAGTTCTCCTGTTACCAGATATTTATATTTCCAATTGTATCTCGTCTTCTGAATTCTATTCCATTGTCTTTGTCTTTGTATTTCCGCTTCTCTTTTCCTTAGTATTTTCCCTGTTGGTTTCCCTTCTCTCCACAATTGTTCCACTTCTATCTGGCTAAAACCACATGTTTTGAAGTAATCTTGTCTTTCCCTTATTGTTCCCTTGGTTCCCTTTTCCTGCTTTCCTTTCTTTTATGCATTCTTTGACTATCCCTCTCTTTCTCTTTCTATCCTTCTTTCATACTCTTCGCTCTTTTTGCCGAAGATCTAGTCTTCAGTTTCTCTCTTTTCGTTTCCTCCATGATTATACAGTCTGGTGTCCTGATGTCCAGACCAAGCGTCCCAAATTGTATACAATAATTCGTCACTTTCTTTTTGAACTCGTCGATATATATCACTGGATAGAAATTATTGAGAAGTAATAAATTTATTATTTGTTCGGCCTATTTTGTTTTACTTAAATATATAATTTTACTTATTGTAACAAGTTATGCTATAATATATAATATGTTATAACATAACCAATGTTATGCCTAATATAACCTACATTTCAGTTAAATACATTGATCTTTAGTGTTTATTGTTAAATTATATTACAGATTAAAGCTGTATTAACTTTTAAATTTAAACAAAATTTTCTACAGTGCCAGAAAACGACATTGTTATAGGTATCCTTAACCGCTTGCGCTGGCAACTGATTGCGGACCATAACGAGTGACCAAACCATATATGTACAATAGTTCGTCGCTTTCTTTCTGAACTCGTCGGTACGATATCACTAGATAGAAATTATTGAGAAGTAATAAATTTATTATTTGTTCGGCCTATTTTGTTTTACTTAAATATATAATTTTACTTATTGTAACAAGTTATGCTATAATATATAATATGTTATAACATAACCAATGTTATGCCTAATATAACCTACATTTCAGTTAAATACATTGATCTTTAGTGTTTATTGTTAAACTATAGTACAGATTAAAGCTGTATTAACTTTTAAATAAAACAAAATTTTCTACAGTGCCAGAAAACGACATTGTTATAGGTATCCTTAACCGCTTGCGCTGGCAACTGATTGCGGACTATAACGAGTGACCAAACCATATATGTACAATAATTCGTCGCTTTCTTTCTGAACTCGTCACCGGATAGAAATTATTGAGAAGTGATAAATTTATTATTTGTTCGGCCTATTTTGTTTTACTTAAATATACTTAAAAACTGAGAAAATATTGCAATTTTGGGACAAAAAATTCTTAACGTGCGCGGCACGTCATTCCAGCGCAAGAGGTAAAAATTCTATTCCATCATGAAGAAATACGACACCGATTTATTCGGTCGGTTTATTTAGCCACTGCGGATAATAAACGACAGTACTACGGCACATTGTCGCTATGTTTGCGAAAAAAAGAATGAGCTTACCACGCATTACCGTTACGGTGCGAAATCAGCATGAAACGAGCGAAAGCAATGACCGATATAACACAACAAATAATTGACACACGTGTATATACGTACGAGTATAGGCGAAAGACGAGCGACTAGCGTGCAACTCGATGAGGCACAGCGTTTAAAACTCGAGTTAGTTTGCCAGGTGCGAATGGATAACGAAAAACAGTCGCGGGAAATCGATCGTGTCGCGCAAACGGCTCGTTTATTGCCCCGGTTCGGCAAAAAGAAACGGATTTCATCGATCGCATTGTAACGAAGCTCTCGTTCGATGAGAAAGAGGAGCATTGCGCAACACCGCGCCGCGAGGAAACAGGAAAAATAAAATAAATAAACGGAGGAGAACGAAACGATACGCGCTTCAATCACTCGTTATCATTTCTCGCGTTTCTCGCTGCGATATCGCGAGCCGCTAATCCAGCGAGAGATACCCCCAGAGATAAAAATATCCGTGATCCAATAGCCGATAAGCTATCGGAAGCGAAGCTAGATCGTGATCCGAGGGTTGCCTCGTTTCAAGGTACACGCCAAGTACAACGTGTGTTGTTTGCCGTTGACGGCGGCGTATCATCATCGCTAAAATTACGCGTACGAATTATCGCGACGTTCCTAATAATTATCCGCCGCGGGATCGCGGGGCCTCTTTCCCTTCCCGCCGGTGGTAATCATCGATCTTCAATTCTATTTACACGTACCGATCTTGGTTGCCTTGCGTCTGAAAATAGCGGCGGCGGCGGCGGCGGCGGGCCTTTTGAACGTTACACACACCATTTTACACGACCTTAACGTGATTCTTCTCGGGCCGTAATTTTAATAACGCGTCTCTCGCAAACGTATATACGACGATATTAACAATAAGAGATGTTAATCTCTCGGCATGAGGCTGAGGACACGTGCAAGGAATATCGTTATACGTAGCGCGTGTCGTATGTGTACGTGTGCGTGGGGATTAACGATCGAACTAGCACGCGACGAAAGCCGGGGCCATTTAGCCGATTTGATGATTGTCGAAAAGGCAGTTGCACTTGGAAACAATTGATCCGACTGGACTGGGATTTGATCATTGTTATAACCGAGTGTGTGTGTATGTGTGTGTGCGTGTGTTTGTGTGCTGGGTTTACTAACTACGGACGATATTAATGACTTGGCTCGGATCGCAGCTCACGTAGCGACAGCCTCGCGTTCGCCATTATCGTGGCGACCAATCGGCAGACGGTGGGACACACGCTCGCGCGCGACGTATATGTGTATATTATACACTCGACGCACACGTTTCCCAGAAAGCACAAAAGGACGCAGGAAGGAGAGGAATCGCGTCCTTCGCTCTCATAAGGAGACCGAGAGACAACGACACCGAACGGCCGAGGCCTATCATTTCTAAAATTACGAGCCCGTGCTCCGATCGTTAACGAAGGCCGATACCGAGCGATGGATGGATAGCGCGCGCGAGCGCGCGAGCGTCAGTGCGAAATGAACGATTCCCAGAGAGAAGTTCAGGCATCATTGCGCAGGAATTGCACATCGAGAATTCCACGGAACGGAAAAAAAGTTCGCGATAGATCGTCGCTGACCTCCCGCATCTAGCCTCTAGGCTAAATTAACTCAAACGTCGTGCTCCCTCGTCGTGTTTAAATCCTTCTACTTTTCGCTAGGTAACGCAAGGAGGAAAAACTCGGTGAACTTAAAAAACGAGCTATGAAGCTGGAGTAGCCATCACTCAAGTGACATTTATAAATATATATATATATATATATACAACATACAAACAATTGCAAAGATTTTATAAAAACCAAAAGTATATTAAAAATAGGTTATAGGTTAATTAATTCAAAGTATAAGTTATAGGTTATTATATATATTATTTAGGTTATTAAAAATAGGTTATATAATAGCAAAAATAGGTTAATTAATTATATTAAGTTGTAACTTAATTAATTAATCAAAAATATGTTATAGATTATTATATATATTATAAGTTATTAAAAATAGGTTATATAGTTAGCAAAAATAGGTTAAGTTGTAACTTAATTAATTAATCAAAAATATGTTGTAGGTTATTATATATATTATAGGTTATTAAATATTGGTTATATAACAGCAATTAATTAATTATATTAAGTTATAGTTTAATTAATTAATCAAAAATAGATTATAAATTATTATATATATTATAATTTATTTATTAAAAATAAACGTAGATATATATATATATATTATTAAAAATAGGTTATAGGTTTAGTAATTATATTGGACTATAAATTAGTTAATTAATTAAAAATAGACTATAGGTTATTATATATGTTAAAAATGAATGTGTGTGTGTGTGTGTGTGTTATATGATTGATTGTTGCTTCATATTATATATATTATAAATTATTAAAAATGATATATGTATGATAACTAGTTGTTACTCCAGACAATAATGCACAATTTAGAATATGTATTTATATATTCATTTTTAGTAACTTTTCGGTTTTTACAAAAATCATGCAACTATATAGCACTAGAAATGAATATACATATACGTATTCATTTTTAGTAACTCTTTAGTTTTGATTAAAGCCTTGCAACTGTCTGCACATTGTTAGAAATAAATATACATGTTCATTTTTAATAACCTTCAAGTTTTGACGAAAAAATCTTGCAACTGTCTGCAGAGTATTAGAAATGCACGTGTTCTAAATTGTGCGTTATCGCGTGCAAATAACAACCGGTTCATTAGCACTTGTCCAAATGCAAATACGCTTCGTGAATCACATCGTACGCGAAGAGGCGTCGGCGCGCAACTCCTCCACTTTCGGGTGAGAACTCATTATGCATGTACTTATAACGGGATTACGATTTATAGTATAAGCGGGATGTAAGCACGTTGCCGTGCGTGTCATCGCTAAAATTACTTAGCGCACCATCGGCTAGCTACTTTAACAGAAGAAGAGTAATCACCCACCCACTGGATTCACCCACCTATCCGGTTCGCGAGAAAATTTGAGGAATGTCCGGAGAGTGATAAACTTAGGCGTTACCAAATCGTTTTCGCGCGTCACATACACATACACACACACACACACACACACACACACACGCGCGCGGTTCTGGAATTTCAGCTGTCAGATACCGTCCTTTCTTTTTTTTTTTTTTTGTATTTACGAGTGTGTCGCGTTTCTTTTTTTCTTCCCTCGTAAATTTTCAAACATTCTTCTTTTTTCAAACATATTTCTGGTCGCTTTGCAGGGTTTAATTCATCGTCCGCGACGATTTTCGTACAAACTCGTAATTTGTTTGGAAGCTGACCGACGCGCGTGGCTATAAATTGCGCCACTTGGAAGACGCGCGCGCTAGGTGTACGCTTTCTCGATTTGGTACGATCTGAAATTTATAGCTCCGACATATAGCTGACCATTTCGAGAAAAACCCGTTCTAAATGGCAGTTATTGAAAGCTCGGTGGATTTGCGAAGGATTTTCGTCGGGACGTGAGCCGAGTTATCAGTTGCTGTTTACTTCCTATAACCGCGGAATCGTTTTTTTTCTTTTTTTTTTTTTTTTATCAGATCAGAAACGAGTGACAAAGGTGTGGCCTCCTGCGTCGCGTCACGGTTAACTCTCTTGGAGGAAAGAGAAAGAAACCAACAACGTACTTGATTTCGTTTATCTACGAAACATAAAAAAAAAAAAAAAAAAAGAGAAAAGAAAAAAAATGTATGAAACGCAAATACAAATATTGATCGAACAAAGTTTGAAACGCATTTTCTTTTAAGCAACTATTTGCTAAATGCTTTGAGAGTGCATCGCGAAAGCATGTTTCGCCCCAAATATTTACTCGTTCTACACATTTTAATTATATTCGGCGGAGAGAACAGAGGTTGGGATGTACATTTATATTGATTAGAGTAAATAATGCTAAATGGAATTGTGGAAACTAAAATGGAAGTTATAGCGAGATACAGCCGAGGAATCGACAGTGTACAGCGCCTCTCTGAACGATGATAAACGAGTTTTGGAAATTGTTTAATACAAGTACGTCACGAGCAAAGCGTATCAAATATAATTCGGTGCTTGGCAAGCGTGTACTGTACACTTTGTATAGCGTACAATGTACCAAAGATCTTCTTCTAATTTCCAACAGGTTCAATCGGGGCTTGTCACTACATCGTCCATAGCTCCTTAATCAAAAATATGCACGCGACGCGGCCAGAGTTGGTTCTCTTTGTTTATTGAACGAAACGAGCGAGAGGTAATTCCACCGGAGCATCCAATATTCCAACTAGGCCGACAGGGAGATTTTCTATGCGACCTTAGAGGCGTCCGCGAGCATTGTGAAAAAAATCGGGCGAAAAGTTGGCCTCGCTTACGGGTTAGCGGGGACGAGGAACGAAAGTGGCGCCTCTTACGTAACTGGGACGAGCTTATTAGTAAAAATCGCTGAAGTTTGCCATTTAACTTGAGCCGCGCGGGGCTAAGGCGGCTCGGGTTATTTCTAAAGGAGTTGTAAAACAAGTTCCAAAGGTTTCCCCGCGATTCTTCATGCTTGCTAAATTGAATCGCGTAACCGGGGGAAAACTTTATTTATGGCGAAGTGGAACAGGTTGTATGTAACCGCTCTCCGTGGCTCCAGCTCCGAGAGGGCTGATGTTCGAAATATTAGCGGTCAGAACTAATTAAACATTATGAGTTCGCGTTACAGGAATTGGTAATTGAGTTCGTTTAGTTGAATATATATATATATATATATATATATATATATCTCCTCCAAAAGTATTAGTAACACCTGCTGTACACAAGGTTGGTCTTCGTGGATGCGTAGCTACAAAAAGAAACCATTACTATGACCACAAAATAAAGTAAAAAGACTGCAGTGCGCTAAAAAAAAGAAATATCGAAATTGGTCAGCTGAAGAGTGGAAAAATGTTTAATGGACCGACGAATCGAAATTTAACGTTTACGTTTTTAAAAGACCTGAAGAAATGATTTCTGACTGTATCGTACCCACGGTTAAACATGGAGGGTGGTCAATAATGATCAGGAGGTGTATTGGAGCAAATAGTGTTCGAAGGGATTTTCAAGAAAAGAACAATATTTGTTTATTTTACGTGATCGTATCATCTGGGAGGCGATTAATAGGCCAAAATTTTATTTTCGCGCATGACAACGATCCCAAGCACACGGCAAGGATTTGGAAAGACTATTTGGATCCTTCACTAGAGAAGATTTGGGATGAATTAGATCGAAAAATCCGTGAAGTGTGTCCAAAGTCCCAAAATGGTTTATGGAACAAACTACAAAATGCATGGAACCAAATAGTACC